ACAAGTTCTTCTATGGCTTTATATTTAATATTTTCACTTACACAATTTAGCAAAATCAGACAATATTGTCTAATATAAACCACAATATTAACTTCTTATTATTGAATTGTTGTAAATAAATATCACATTTGGAACTAGTCAGTGTTCAAAAAATGCTGGGAAATCACTTCAAGTAGCCCTACAAGAGTGATTACTGATAAACTGTCTGAAAAAAGAAAGTCACGTTTTAGAGAAGAAAAAAATCACCCACTGACTTTCAAAGCTGCTGCATAGTAACGACTTTCTACTTCGAGGACCTTGATAGAAATGTAGTGGAGTGAAAAGTACAATATTTGTCTTTCAAATGTAGTGAAGTTAAAGTCATAAGTTTCCAGAAAACATAATACTCAAGTAAAGTACAGATACTCAAAAAGTGTACTTAAGTACAATACTCAAGTAAATGTACTTAGTTACTGTCCGCCTCTGGTTATACTGATGCACGCTGTACTTATAGAGGAGGCAGAGTCATTTGATTTGGTTACTGCACATTTACAGGGTGCAGCCTACTGGAAAATATTTGGTACAGTAGAATAAATTGTGCTTCTGTGAAAGTCCTCTTAATTACTCTTTTACCCGACATAATAACTACATGGCAAAAGGCCTAGAGAACATGTTCTATCCTGTGTTTCTTAGTGAAAAAGAAAGAAAGAAGAAAAGAAAAAAACAAACTGATTTTTAAATAAGAAATGTTATTATTAAAAACTAATGCCATCACAAAAACTAATTCTTCTTCTTCTTCAGTAATTTTCATTGCTTATGTAATTTAATGCAATGGTTACAATTTACATTAGAGTCCTCAGGTTGCAGTATAATTACATAAGCAAATAGGGCTGCTGAGTAATACTAATCAACAACATACACTTCATATGTAATTATTTTGTTGAGTGACTTGTAATTAAATGCTGTTTTTTGCTGCCATTAATTATATTAACATGTAAGATGTGGATTGGCTCTTAGAGTTATACAAAATTTGGTAATGTATAGCATACACTGTGAACATATTTGAATACATACATTTCATAAATACAAAAATAATAATAAATGTTTGTTATTCAGAAATGTCTGTCTATGGAAACAAGGTATTTTAATCAGCCTGTAATTTTTTTTTATTTTTTTTTTAGACGTGAGGAGTTGTATTTAACACTGTAAATGCAAAATATCAAAATCCGAAACTGCATACTTAATCAAGATAACCTTTCAACCCTTTAAATGTTTTTTTTCACCCTTAAAGAACCCCATGGAATAATTAATTACAGATTTGATTGTTTGTTTCTGCTTTTTCTCCCACTACATTCCCCACTGTAACTTTGTCAGTTTGATTGACACATAGCAGAACATTTCAGGGTCTGTCTCTCAGTGGTACGTGGCGCTGTCAGAGCTTGACTGAAATCCACTCAGCCTCCTGGAGACTGTTCCCAGGTGGGAATGCTGTCTGGCTGCCTGCACAGCAGTAGAGCACTCCTCCTGGACTTCCACCCTCAGTCTCAGGATCTCCACCACGGCTGAACATTTTCCTCACGTTCACTATCCAGACCAATGAATTATTTTGTTTTATTTACTGTATTTATTTATTTATTTTA